GCCAGTCCTTCTGAACACCACAAGGAGCAGGAGCATTAGCATGTTCAGCTTTTGTTGAATCTGCCATGGTTGTATTTACTGTTCAGCAAAACCTATCTGGTTAAACCGTCGCAATCTTAGAGTTTTTCAACAGGTAAATGTTTGTATTTAAGCGAGCAGTGAGTTTCACACACCATTTAGCTCTGGGTTCCATCAACAGTACTGTTATAAGCCAACTTTTCAATAATTGGGCACCTGTTTTTAGGTTTTACCCCATGAATATTATAAGTAAATGCTTCCTGTGGCAGTGTTACTTAATATGAGCTTAATTCTAACAGATACAATGAACCAGGCTATTTCAATGTTTATTTACTCCAATGCACTTAAAATTAATAAACCTGCAATACTTTCTAAAAAGTCTGACAGCAACTTTGTAGTTTTAAACACTCTTTAAGCAGTTTAATTTACCAGAATTTGTTATTTAAAACAGTAACTCATAAACCAAGCTTGATTAACATTTGTATTTACCCACATGGGCTTTTATGCACTGACGCCAGAGAGTGGACGTACACGGCGTTACGTCACCAGCTTCTCGGCAAATCAGAACGTTTCAAACAGCGGTCCTCGACCAATCACAGCTCGTGTGTACCTGTGTAAGCTAGCAGTTAGCTTCAACAGTCCGGCCACAATATCACCCATTAACGCTTCAAAAATGCACGAATTAACTGTGGAAAGTAGCGAATCAGCATAGAAGCAGCTTCCTGAGTCGGCGCCCGGTTTCACAGACAGCGTCTCACCATTTAAAACACGACTCGTTCGAGTTCAATAATCAGAACCAGGTCGGACCGTAGAACCCCGGTCATGAAAGAGTTCCAAACAGAAAGGTGTGTCTTTCTCTCTGCTTACAGCTTAATCACACACACACACACACAGAATGGCAATTTCCAGCTTCAAAATGAACATCAACACAATTCTGTATCTTTCTGAACACCACAGCCATGAAATATGTCTCTACTAAGGTCAAAACCTGGACTTTTTATGTTTCCAACATGAAGCGTTTTTCCACAATATCACGTCAAACATAACTTATCTCTTCAGAAACGTTACAGGCCACCATTTATTTAGTGATTAGGGACAGCTTTCGCAGTAACATACTACTAATTAATTATTCTTAAAGCTAGTTCAAGCACAAAGAATATTAATTGTTCAATTACAACGGATTCTTTCTTTTTCGAGTTAAATTTCTTCCATGTGACTAAGATAACTTGTGGAGTGGAGTGGTAATTAGTGACATGAGACGCCATTTCATCTTTGACCCATCAGAATAAACGCGGTCATTTATTTAACAGAATCAAAATTTAACATCAAACGTACACATTGATTTGCTGATCCGTTTCTGATTAATAAACTTGGCACGATTTACTAAACAAGACAACAGAAGATTACTGATTGAGAATGATTAATCTCTGAAGGCATCTAGCTTGATTTACTGGCGAATAGAAGTTTTAAAGAGAAGGAATAGATTTAAAGAGGAGGTTTAGATGGAAGAAAGTTGTGTGTTGAACCAGAAAATGGCACCCTTCCTCAGAATCCAGCTCAGCCCTCCGGTACACTTCAGGGCGTCAACGGCTTGTTACCTGAGATGGTGGATACGTCCACTCCGGAACAGAGGTCCATTGGCACGCTCCTTTTTCAGCGTCTCCGGTCAGAGTGGCTGGGGTCGTCAGAAGTCGTGACGAAGTACTCAGTTCAACAGAATAAGCTTCCTTAGAAGTTGAGCATTTAATGCTCAGGTTGGCTGTGACTACGCTGGAATGGACGGACCCTTGGCACATGGTCAAATCCATCAACTATTTTGTTCAGCTGTAAGACTCCATCAGACTGAGTCTCATCTTCGACTGAAAGTTCCAGGAAGACTGGAAAGCCTCGGAAGACTGGAAAAGACTGAATAGTTCCAAGAAGTGTTGCCTTTTTCACTTGGTACTTCCTGATTGGTTGAAACAACCAGCAGGGGTGTAGTTTTACTGATGTCAGAGGGTTATTAGAAGTCAGGAGACAGCAGAAATGTTTTAAGAACAGTTAGTACAGACAGATAAATATTTTGAAGAAATGAGAGAATGCAGGTGCCAGCCAGTTCTTATTTACTGTCTGAGAGTTTTAAAACAAGGCACTTCGTTCTCATAACTTGTCTCTGACTTTCGCCCTCAAATCCACTACTCCTCATTCAGACAGAAGACTAAATGCACACTTACTTCGTAAATAGACATTTACTTGTATGATCCAAGTCTAATGAGGTTTAAAAATCATTAATACTGTTTCTGTTAGGAGTGCGCGGGGAACCCAGATGATATGAGACCCAGAA